CTCACTGGTCTCGACATCATCCATGTCTTCGTCGTCGTCGTCATCTTCATCCTTGTCGCGGCCGCGGGGAGGTCTGTCTCCTTGGCGCTACTTGGCCTTGCCGCGGCGTCCTCCCCGGCCGGCGCGCTTCTTGCCGGATTCTCCAGCGCCACCTTGGGCCCTCTCCTTGTCGCGTCGCTCGTATTCAGCCTTTTGCTGCTGGACAAGCTGCTCGACCTTCTTGCAGTTCTGGAGGTCATGGCCCTTGGTGCGGTGGATCTTGCAGTATTGCTTGTCGGTGCCGTCCTGCTTGTCGGCGACCGCCACAACCTAGCAGTTGGTGCATGCGGCAATCTCCTTGCTGGAGCTACCAACTTTGGCTTTGTTGGCGCCACCTTCGTTGCCGGACTGCTCAACGACTAGCACATCTTTGCCTTTCTTCTTCCTGTTCTTCCGCCGCTGGTTTTTCTTTGCCGGGGCAGCATCCTCGCTGTCAGATCCTCCTGCTCCTGTATTCTCTCTGGGGAGTTTCCTCCCTTCCTCAGCACGTGCACACTTGTCGGCCAGGGCATACAGCTCACTGACGTCTCTGATCTTGCACATCGCCATCTCCTCCCGCATCCTGCGATTACGCACGTTCTGATGGAACACGCTGATGACCGCGGCAGGGTGGACATCTGGGATGTTGTGTTGTACACGGCTGAACCTCTGAATGTACTTGCGCAGGGGTTCTCCTTCCTTCTGGGCGAGTAGATGAAGGTCACTCTCTTGGCCATGAGGTTTGTGGCCGCCTGTAAAGGCGCCGACAAACTGATGGCATAGGTCTGCCCACGAGGATATGGAGTTGTCCGGCAAGTGCATGAGCCAGGACCTGACGTTGGGCTTGAGCACCAACTGGAAGTAGTTGGTAAGGATCTTTCCGTCCCGCCCCCCAGCAGCCTGCACCGCGATGGTGTAGATGCTGAGGAACTCCGACGGATGCGACTTGCTGTCGTACTTCTCTGGCACATCTGGTTTGAAATTCTTCGTACTGGGCCACTGGACTTGCCGCAGCTCACGGGTGAACGCAGGGCAACCTACCGCGTACGGCAAGTCGCTTGGTTCCCCTGGCGCATGCATGTCGACAGAGGGCCCAGCGCGCTGTCTGATTGACGCCGCGCTTCTCTTCGGCGCTCGATGCGAGTACGAGCATCTTCTTGTCGTCGTTCTTGAAGAACTTGGCATTGATCGCGACGAGCTTGCGGATCTGACGACGCGGTGGAGTCGCTGTCGAGGTGGATCCGGCGAGTCGGCGATCTTGGCCTTTGGGGCGGAGAGTGCACAGTAGTTGCACCCCCACCAGTCTTGTCGTCTCCGGCTCGTGCCTGGCTGGCTTGCCGTGGCTGCGACGTGCCCGGCTGCCATGGAGTGTCGCCGTTGGCGAAGCCGATGAGACTCTGGATGGTAGCCCTCCAGTCGTCGATCTTGTCCGCCGTTGGAGGGTAATCTAGGAGCAGCTGAGCTCGCGCCAAAGCTTCTGCTGCAGTGGCGGGTGGCGGTGGCGAACGGTGCGAGGAGCGGGATATGCTCGGACTTCTAACCACGTTAGAAGGAGCAATATCCCGTCTAGGCGACTGTGTCTCGCTCACGCCAGCATGTTGGCGTGCATGGTGGTCCTGGGCGCTCCGAGGTCCACCAGCTCGATCTTGATCTAGCAAACGCATGGTAGCGTGAGTACCATGATGCTGCCGGTCCCGCGCCTCCTGAGATGGGCGTGGTGCATGCACGGACGCCGAGGTCTTGGAGTGCGCCCGGTCGTTGTGGGAACCGGCTACGCCGCCGATAGGCAGCGCAGCCTTGTCCTTGGACCTGGCAGCACCGCGAGCTCCCTCGTCGACGCCCGTTCTTCCGCCGGCGCCCGCCCCATCAGCCATTTGCTCTGGCGATGGTGGGTTCGGCGCGGACGGAACAGCTGCCTCCGAAACCTTCTTCTTCGACGGCATGTTGATGAAGATGATGAAGATCTAGCTCGCGAGAACGCCGGATCTGGTTCACACAACTTCGACGCCCCCTACCTGGCGCGCCAAAGATGCCAGGGTACTGATCCACGGGCACCTATGGGACCGGCAGACCGGGTCCCTTTCGGTTCGGCGGGGGCGGAGATCATGCAAAGAGCAAATCAAGGCAATGCACGCGAGCGATTTACCCAGGTTCGGGCCGCACGGATGCGTAAAACCCTACTCCTGCTTTGCGGTCTGTATTGATTTCTTGCTCGGGAGCGCGGAGTGCTACAGTATACACCAGCAGCTAGCAAGACCGAGCGTGAGTGTTCTCTGAAATGACTAACCCCCCCTCTACGTTGCACACGGGCCTCCTTTTATATGCTCAAGGGGTCACCGACAGGTGGCAACGTAGACAAGGGTAAAAATGGAAAGGTGTTGTGGTAGGTACAGCTACCTGGTACAGTGTATCATACCTAACCCTGACGGCAGGGGACAAGGGCCTTAAATGCCCGTCTGTGTCGCCTAAACAGTGCGAAAAGGGACCGCCAGGGACGCCACCGTTCGCCATGATGGCGATCCTGTCAGCGCCGCTTGCCACCGCATGTCGCTGGCTGCACAGCCTCCCACCACGTACGCCTGGAAGGGCCCCAGAGTGACACGTTGGTGGATGTGCTAGAGCACGGGCCCAGAGAGGTGGCTTGCCGCGGTAAGCGCCTTGCCGCTGTCATTGTCTTGTCGCGTCCGGGAGCTTGTCGCTCACCGGGCCTTACCGGGGCGCGTGGTGCGCCGCGGCAAGTTCCTTGAAATGCCTTGGGTGGCCTTCCCGGCAAGCTCCTCTTGCCGGGGTCTTGGGATGCTTTTGTTAGCCTTCCTGGCAAGCTCCTATTGCCGGGGTCTTGTCTTCTTGGCTTGGACACTTTGTTCTTGAATGGCTCCAAAGGAACCACGGAGGACCTTGGTGGTCACCCGGCAAGCCTTGCCGCGGGACGCTGCGACTGCCCGTGCACAAGTTCGGGATATTAGGGTACCCCTACTCTAGTACACCGACAACACTAGTGTATGTCAAAACATTTTTTCAGTGCCGTGGGAGTTGTTGCTCAAAACTTGTACTTATTTTATTTTCATCTGTACAAACCTAAGTTAGGCCTTTATAGTTTTTGTATTCTCATTTTTACTGCACTTATGTTTTAGTACTGTGTGAACTGAATTGTAATTTCAAATAGTGCATGGGTTTGAAATTTGATGTCACAGTGGTGCGAGTGGCCTGATTGATCCTGCTGTTTTAGTACTGATGTTGTATATATGTTTGAACTGATTTTTTTATAACTTAGGTTGGGGGTGGGGGTTTGAGATTATTTTACGACCAGATCGTTCGTTGTGGTGTGGACAGATTATATATAAATAATAAATTTAGCAGAATTGACAAATAAATTCTATTTGAACTTTTTGAATTTTAGTAGTTGAACTTGTCAGTTTTTATATAAATAAGAAATTTAGCATAATTGACAAACATTATATGTTTGAACTTTTAGATTTTTAGTAGTTGAACTTGTCAGTTTTTATATAAGTAAGATTTTTAGCATAATTGACAAACATTATATGTTTTGAACTTTTTTAGTTTTAGTAGTTGAACTTGTCAGTTTTTATATAAATAAGAATTTTAGCATAATTGACAAACATTATATGTTTTGGACTTTTTTAGTTTTAGTAGTTGAACTTGAAAGTAATATTGAATTCTGTTTTTTAAATTATGTACATTTAACAGAAAGGCTATTAAGTTTTGTTCTTTTAGAGGTTCATTGTTTTTGTATCATATTTTTTCCTTTTTTCTTGTAGAGGTTAATTGACAAACATTTTTCTTGTGGTTTATATTTCTTTGTCCCGCCCTCTGGTTTGTATAGTTGGGCTTATTTGGTGGGGTGTTTTGTTGACGATGTAGAGGCTATTGGGCCGTTTTTCGGCCTAGATAGCTCGTTCGCGCGCCTGTGCAGTGCGTCGTGCGCGTGCGCTCTGGGTTTAGTCCCACCTCGCTAGTCGAGGGGGCTCCGAACCTATTTATAAGCGCAGCCGATGCTCACCAGTCGAACTCCTCTGAACACTTACCTTAGTGCTTATACACGGTGCTCGCTCTCTCTCTTGATCTGTGGGCCCTAGTCGATGGGTCCTGCGTTGTGCGGATTACTAGGGATTCGCCCACGGGCTCGAGTTCAAGTATCTAGCATTGTCAGGGCCTGCTCCTAACCTTGGGCGGTCAATTTTTTTGATTTGTTTGAATCTAGTACTTGACTCCTCCAGTAACTTGGACTCATACTTTTTGTTCTAGTTCTTGTCAATTTTGTGTGTGTAATCTTTTTCATTTGAGTTTTTTGCCTTCTTTTTTTGTGTTTGTTTTTGTGATTATTCTCAAGTGTCTTCTGGTGTCATTTTCAGAACTATGGTACTTGCGTGTAGACTGAGTTGTACTGATAGTGCATTCATAGTAGCGCTTATGGACTGATGCTTCTTTGTACTTTTTATTGTAGTAAGTATGTAATGTCCGATCAAGTGTACTGAGTTGTACTGACATGGAACAATGTTGTGTGATTAGTTGCATCGTAACTAGTACTTTAGAGCAACGACAACGTTCCATTCAGAAGCTACTTTTTCAATTTTGAAATGATGGATTAACAACATACGAAGCTACCAAACCAAACTTATATAATGAGATAAGCAAAACATTGTACTTGATGACATAACTAAACTTGTTCAAACATGATAAGCACGACATAATCATACTGGTTCAACCCAACAAGAGCAAACTACTAATTTGAAACAACAAGATAAAAGGCAAGCACAAGCGGAAGTAAAACGAAGGCAGGCTCTGATGTATCTTCATCCCGTAAAGGGGCAATAGGGGTGGTCGTAGAAGTTGTTAGCCTCCCGCTCTTTCGCAAATTCCGAACCATCTGTGATGTAGTCGATCATGAACCATGACTTATACGCGGCATACGCATCTACTCCTGCGTACTCGATGAGGTTGTCTGGCAGCTCGCTTGTCCCTCACAGTTTGTAGTCTTCCTGCGTGTTGATCTTGTTCTTCATGCCTTTGTAGAATGGGTGGATGACGCTGGCTGCAACATCAGTCAAGGAGTCGTACTCTTTTCCGGTGTATGGAACTCTCCACTTGCGCTGAATGTCGATGAACTTGTTGGGGTTGATCTTCCTACCGGACAACTTCAGCTTCTCTTTGTCGCTTTCAATGCTGAAACCGGCAAATGTGAACAACTTGTCATGCTGCAGCATGTCGGTCAGGCGCTTGGGCCTGCAAGGGCAGAGACATTTTGAATATTAGCATTACTTTGATGTTTGAATTATCCATTTTTGTTTTGTTTTACAAGTGATGAATCCATGAAGTAGTTGTTTATGTAGGATAAACAATGGATGAATGTACTTCAAAAACTAGTAAAGAAAGTTCTGAAATTAAATTAAGTACATCATGTTATTCTTCTTCTTGGATTATACATAGTTTCAGTCAATGTTGTATGTTCCGCATTGGTACTAGTTTAGTCTACTTTTGTTGAAATAGGATAACACAGAACCAGTGCTTCACCAAGTCCTTAGTTTATTTTCTTACGAAAATAATATTACATCAAATTCAGAAAATACTTCACTACATCAAGTTCAGAAATATCTTTTTTAATACATCGAGTACATAGACTACTCTATTGTATCAACTCCAGAAACTACACTAGTCGATCAACTTCAGAATTTAATCTTCCCAAGATTTTCCAAATAGTAATCCAGTGTATCAGGTTCAAAAATACATTTATAGTATATCTACTTGAGAAAATGCAGTAGTGCATCCACTTTTCACAAACCACACTAGTACATCTAGTTGGGAAACAAGTGTGATTAAATTTTCAGGATACAGTACTAATAAAACAGATAAACCATATGCAGGGCAAATGAGTAGGATTGCTCACCATTTTGTGGCCGCTGCGATGTGGTACACCAAGCAGAGTTCGTCGACGCACACCTGCAGGACTGCCGCCATCTGGGGAGGTTCATCTTCGTTGGTGTAGTGCACACCAACGCCGATGATCCTATGAATCCTGCCGCCAAGCTTCCTCCAGAGCTTGGAGATAACCTCGTCGGCCTTGTCTGGTTCGCTGGTGCAGACGATCTCCAGCGTCTCCTTGCCGTGGAGCTCAACCCCTTTGAGCCTTCTGGTGTAGTTGCGCTTCTCGCCGGGGACGTTAATGTCGACGAGGTTGCTCCTCTTGTCCGACGTCTCGGCATGATGACACTTGGCGGATGGTTCCTCCGCCATGGCCTTCCTCCGGCGACTGTGGGCTTTGGAGAGAGACACTGGAGGTTTGTGTGCAGTGGAAATGGAAGCGGCAATGGTGGTTTGCGGGAACGAGCGAGAGATGGAAGACAATGGGGTATTTTTTCAGTGCGCCGACGGTGGTGTGTGGGAGGCGGTTCGTCGGGGGCGTGTGTGTAGTGGTCGTGGGGGTCGCCGTTTGCACTTCGTCGTGGCAAACGCCCAGTGGGTGGCGTGGGTGGTGGCGTGGAAGAACTAACCGTCCAAGTTAAATGGTTTTTACTATTGAACTGACTAGTCTTGTCAAGCTGTACTTATGACGTGCAAAACCCCACTTGCACGTCTCTGCGGTTGTGATGATGGCATTTTACTGTGGCACCGATTCGTATAGTCAAGTTGTACTTATCAGGTGCTTATCCCACTTGCACGTGTCAGCGTCGGTGTTGGTGGAGGTCTGAACTCCTCTACTGTCGTACTCGGACTGGTGATTGAAGTGTAATTGAACGTACCAAATACTAGTGATACTATGTGTGGTGCTAATGTTTTTTTAAAACAATTTTCGTATTTTTTAAAGGATTGTTTATATCAAGATAACCTGTGAGTATTTTTTAAAGATAAATTAGATTTCACCAGTACAGGATGTATTATATTCGCATTTTGCTTGAGGTAATTATTTTTATGTACTGATGGTCTTTCTGAATTGGGACTGGTAGGAGCAGGCATAGCTTTGTTTTTTCAAAACGATTTTTTTTTTCAGTCGTTCACTGGTGTGTTTGTTATTACTATGCCTTTTGTACTGCCGACTGAGAGTTATCAGTACTGATGTAATACAAGAGTTTAAATTTTTCCTTGACATTTTTTTGCTGAGTTACTGGTTGACAGTAGCGTTTTGCGTCAGATATATCAAGATAAGTTTTTTCCATTTTATTTTTGACTGCATTCAAAAGGATTATCAAATGGTTTAAATAATAATGTCACTGCTTCAGCGGGCACAAATCAGAAATTATATCAGTACTGATGCGTACTCTGCCTTGTACTGACGACTGAGAGTTATCAGTACTGATATGCTACAAGAGTTTAAAATTTTCCTTGACATATTTTTTTCCTGGGTTACTGGTTCACAGTAGCCTTTTGCGTCGGATATATCCAGATAAGTTTTTTCAAACGTATTTTGTGACTGCATTCAAAATGATTATCAAATGGTTTACATAATAATGTCACTGCTCCAGCGGTCACAAATCAGAAACTAAAAAATAACTTTAGTTCTGATCGAGAAATTGACGATAAAGCTAAATAAGTTTTGGTAAACGACAGTGTCTTGTGAAATGCTTCCTCATTGTGTGCTGATTCAACTAAGATACAAGGTTATTTTTTAGTTGACGCAGCAGGATAACCACTATGTATTGTTCAGTCTTGAGCTTCTCCTAACTGTCCCCGAATGTTGTGCCTTGCCGGCGCTCTTTCCAGGTTGAGCCTTGGCAGCTTCATCGTCAGTTTCAGTTTCCTCGCCCCCGACACTGTCATCTTCATTGTCTTCGTCTGATTGGCCGTCATTCTCATCAAACTCTTCTTCTTCATCGTCTTCATTTGATTGCTTGGAACTCTGTACCTTGCCCTGTTTATGTTCAGCTCCACTGACCTACTTGCCCACTTTGCACGTGCGGGCATTATGTCCGTCAGTTCCGCCACACTTGCGGCAAGTGTAGCTGTTACGTGTGTTGTCTCCATTGGTAGAAAGCTGGGTGGCTCCAATCTGCTTGTTCTTGTTGATAGTGGCATCTGTGCGGAGTGGGCATGTGCGGTAGTTATGGTTGCTCACGACGTTGCAGAATCCGCATGCCCTTACCCCGAGGGGTTTGCTATCCGGGCAAAATTCCATGCGCTTGATGGGGCGTGGTGGCTTTTTGGCTGCTGCTTGCGTCTTGCTCTTCCTCCCCTTTGTGTTTGAGAATATTGGGGGTTTAATCACCCTTTCCTGCTGCTACTGGTAGGATGTGCTATTGTCATGTCGTTCGCCTACAGCACCATCAAGCTCATGATCTCGCATGTGAGTTTGTCGGTGCTCTTGAGTGTGCACACGGGCAAGCTCCGGTTGCTGCTGCTCCTCTTCCTCGTTCTCAAACGGGACAATAGCTCCCATATGGTTCATCTCGGACAACATTGTAGCAATATCCTGCTCAATGGCTTCATTGTCGCGACACCTCCATTTTTAGCAGAATGCATGGCGTCGAGTTCTTGTTCAAGTTTGTCCATGACGACCCGCGTCCTTGCCATTTTCTCTTGGCTTCTCAAGATTTTTCTGTGCACCCTCATGTTTAGCGTCAGCAGTGAGCTTTCAATGCAGTATTGGGATGCCTTGTTTGACGCTACTGTCCTCAAGTCATTTCTGTCAAATGTTGGCTGGATGTTCGGGCGTTTGGTGTATCTCCTGAGTATGTATTTCTCTGGAACGCTTTCAGCCTTAATTGTCTGCATCATGCACAGGACATGCACGCAGAAAAGACCTGTATTTGTTTTTGGAAGAGGTGCATGTTTTTTGTCATTTCATTCAAACAAAAACTTTGCAAAAAAAGTAGTACAGTATGTAACATCTTTTTTGTAGTCCTCACATATGTGGTCCCATAGCCTGCACTCGCACTCATATGTTTCTCCCACGAGGTCTGCAACCACCTGGAACACGTGCTGAGCCCACACAGACAGTTTTTGCGGGTGGTTGTAGCGCACTAGGTAATTTGTGGGCTCTTCCGTCTCTGTCGCCGTGAAGAGAGTGCTCAGTTTTAGCCTATCTCTGATCTCGCTGTACACAGCTCGCGTGTACAACTTTGCCATCTGGGTATCAAACCCATAAAAGGTCAGCGTGTTTTGTTCCTTCTGCAGATGCAAGAATGATGACCAAATTGTTAGTTTTCTCGCAGGAAAAACTTCTAATAAAGTTTTTACTTTAGTAAGCATGTAATTTTTTGTCTTACGACAAGTGATAGAGCTATACCCGGTTACCCATTGTCTCATGGTTCTCTGTCTGCCTCCTGGTTTTGACGCAGTAGTTTACCTGGCTGACAAACCGGTGTAGGTTATGTCTCTCATTTACGTAGTTCTTCTTGAGCATATAGTTCATGCTCTCACTTCACTGTGTGGATGTCATTTTGGCGCAGAAAATTTCTTTGAAGTAGGTTGATATCCATTTCTCACGCTCGTTCCACATGCCCACCATTGTGGCATCATCGTGGAGGTTGTACTTATCCATGAGTCTTTTCCAGGCATCATCAAACTCAGTTGGCATGAGGGGCCAATTGAGAATTGATGTGAATTCATCCTTAAGGTCCTCGTGCAGGAAATACAGGTACGCGAGGTGTTCCCTGTACTTCTTCATAATGTGCCAGTGGCATAGCTTATGTACAGTGTTCTTGAAAACATCTGCGATCGCCAAAGCCATTGCCTGGCACTGGTCTGGTAATGAGAAAATAGACTCGGAGTGGTCAGCAGATGGTTGTGCATATATACCAATACAACTGACACAACATTTTTACTGTGTTATTTTCCTTTTCTTTTTTGGTAGGGGGGTGGTGGTTGGGGGTGGTTTTAGCGGGTGTACCTATGAGAATGCATGTAGGAGCCTTCCTTCTCATGCACCTTAAAAATGTCCTGAACAGCCACTTGAATGAATCTGCATCCTCATCTCTTATCAGGGCAAAACCAAAGAATGTAGTCTGTAAGTGGTTGTTAGTTCCGACAAACACCCCAAGTGGCATATGGTACTTGTTGGTCTTGTATGTTGTGTCAAACGTTACGCAGTCCCCGAAGTCCTGATATGCTCCTCGGCAGCTTGCGTTCGCCCAGAATATGTTCTTAACTCTGTCGGACTCATCGAGTTGCATGTCACAGAAGAATTCCCTGTTAATAGCTTTCATCTCCCTAAAGAAGTTGACAGTCTTTAGGACATCATCCACATCATCAATCCTTGAATTCTTTGCTTTCCTGCATATAAAAAGTTCATTGAAAAATGCATGTTGAACTGGCGTCAGGTCATGCGTTGCTTGATATGTTTGTACTAACAGAGGAAAAAAGACGTAGGTGGTTTATGGGAGGAGAACAAGTTTGTACTTACAGGTTAATCAGGTCTTTGGCATTCATTTCGAGGAAGTAGCTACCAGGGTCATCACCGCCTAGAATGCTCATGATTTGCGCGTGTTCAATGCCTTTGAACTGCAGGTACTTGACGTACTCCAAGATTGTTTTGTCAAAGTTTTTGTGGGAGTGCAAGAAGACAAGCATTTCTGCGGTGAGCTGTAGCATGTGGTTGTGTTCCCAGACTATCTCTTTTACGACAAATGTTCCATCCTTTTCCTTCTTAAGCCTCATTTTAGCCCCGCAGTTAGTTCTGGCTGTCGTCTTGTTACGCTGTCTATTTGCTTCAGACACCTTTGATTCATAAACTCCATGGCACGTGCAATAAAGGTAGGCTCTGGTCTTAAACTTGGGGCCTTCCCTGACAGCAAAACCAACGTGCTTCGCATATACGTTGTAGAAGTTCTTAGTTTCTTCGAAAGTTTCAAACCTCATCTCTAGCCTTGGCAGAACATAAGCCTCAATGTCAGGTGGCTGCACATAACAGTGACAAAACAAAAATGTTAGATGGGGTGGTCACAGCACCATGGTATGGACTGTGCTTGTATTTTTTTCTATATGGATACTTACATGTGTATAGCTCTGCGCTGCCTCTGGTGTTTGTTGTTCTCCCTGGTTTATGGGCGCCGGTGGTGTCACCCTTGGCACATGCATCAATGCATCTCTTGGAGGGAGCAACGATGACGAAGATCTCCGTCTCTCATTGTACGGACGTCTCTCCTCAGATTCATTGTGATGTTGCTCCTGTCTATATGGCTCATATCTTGTACTTTTGAACCTGCTAGAGTGGCCAAAATTTCTGTCTTTTTTCCATGGTCTTCCCGTCGCAACTGCTTTTGCAGCACGGATGATTGATGTTGACGGAGCGACTGGTGGAA